ACTTCGTCTTTTCCAATCTGGATTCCATTTGTTTCTTTCTCTTGCCTGATTGCTCTGGTTCATACCTCCAGTACTATATTAAATAGTAGTGGAGAGAGTGCACATCCTTGTCTTGTTCCTGTTCTTAAGGGAAAGGCCCTCGGTTTTTCCCCATTCAGGATGATACTGACAGTGGGCTTGTCATCAATGGCTTTTATTGTGTTGAGATACTTTCCTTCTATGACTAATTTGTTGAGAATCTTTATCATGAAGGGATGATGAATTTTGTCAAATGCTTTTTCAGCCTCTATTAAGATAATCATATGGTCTTTATCCTTGAGTTTGTTGATGTGATGTATAACATTTATTGACTTCCATATGTAGAACTGAACTTGCATCCCTGGGCTGAATCCCACTTGATTATAATGTAAAATTTTTTTAATGCATTGCTGTATTCTGATTTCTAATATTTTGTTAAGGATTTTTGCATCTAGGTTCATCAAAGATATTGGCCTTTAATTTTCTTTTTTTGTTGTCTTTATCTGGTTTTGGTATGAGAGTTATTTTGGCTTGATAGGATGAGTTTGAGAGAGTACCTTCTGTTTCAATTGTCTGGAATAGTTTGAGGAGAATTGGTAGTAACTCTTCTTTAAAAGTCTGAAAGAATTCAGATGTAAATCTCTCCAGACCCGAACTTTTCTTTGTTAGAAGATTGCTAATTACTGCTTCAATCGCATTGCTTGTTATTGGTCTGTTCAGGTTTTCTGCCTCTTCTTGGTTCAGTCTTGGTAGTTTGTAGGTGTCTAGAAACTTATCCATATCTTCCAGATTTTCATATTTGTTGTCATACAGTTGTTTATAATAGTTTCTAATGATTCTTTGTATTTCTGCAGTATAAGTTGTTATGTCTCCCCTTTCATTTCTGATTTTTGTTACTTGGGTCTTCTCTCTCTCTCTCTCTCTCTTTTTTTTTTTTTTGTTAACCTAGTTAATGGTTTCTCTATTTTATTTATCTTCTTGAAAAAACAGCCTTTTGTTTTGTTGATCTTTTCTATTGTTTTTTGGGTCTCTATTTCATTTAGCTCTGCTCTGATCTTAATTATTTCTTTCCATCTACTACTTTTAGGTTTGGATTTTTGTTGTTTCACTAGTACTTTGAGGCATAGTGTTAGGTCGTTTATTTGAAATCTTTCCATTCTATAGATGTAAGCATTTATTGCAATGAATTTGCCTCTTAGTACTGCTTTTGCAGTATCCCACAGGTTTTGGTATGATGTATCTTTACGTTCATTAGTTTCTAGAAATTTTTTGATTTCCTGTTTAATTTCTTCTTGGACCCATAGGTCATTCAGGAGCCTCTTATTTGGTTTCCATGTATTTGTATATTTTCCAGAGTTTTGCTTATTATTAATTTCCAATTTTAGTCCATTGTGGTCTGAAAAGATACTTGGAATGATTTCTAGTTTTTAAAATTTGCTGAGGCTAGATTTGTGACCTAATATGTGGTCTATCCTGGAGAATGTTCCATGAGCTGATGAGAAGAAAGCATATTCCTTAGTTGTTGGGTGAAATGTTCTGTATATATCGGCCAGGTCCAGTTAGTCTAAGATGTAGTTTAAATCCTGTATCTCTTTGCTGACTTGTTGCCTGGAAGATCTGTCCCATACTGAGAGAGAGGTGTTCACATCACCCACTATTAATGTATTCAGACCTATTTCTTTATTTAGGTCTAAGAATATTTGCTTTATACATCTGGGTGCTCCAGTATTGGGTGCATATTTATCTATGATTGTTATGTCTTCTAGCTGGACAGATCCTTTTAACATTATATAGTGGCCTTCTTTGTCTCTTTTTATATTTTTAGGTTTAAAATCTATTTTGTCTGATATAGGAATTGCTACTCCTGCTCATTTTTGGTTTCCACTTGCATGATATATCTTTTTCCATCCCTTCACTTTTAGACTGTGTGTGTTTCTATAGGTGAGGTGGGTCTCTTGAAGACAGCAGATACTTGGGTCTAGCCTTTTAATCCAATCAGTCAGCCTGTGTCTTTTGACTGGGGAGTTTAGTCCATTCACATTTAGGGTAGTTATTGACAAGTGTTGCTTAATTCCTGTCATTTAATTGCTTCTTGTTTAGATAGTTTATATATCTTTTGATCATTTCCCCTTTTATTTCTCTTCTTCAATGTTAGTTGGAGATTTAGGGTGGAATGATTGAGCTTCTTTTTCTTTCTTGATGGTATTTTTGTTTTAACAGTAGATTTTGCTCTTGTTTATTTGTGATAGTCATCACCATTATTTGGATTCCAGATGAATGACTCCCTTGTGAATCTCTTGCAGGGCTGGTTGTGTGGTGGTGGACTCCCATAACTTTTTTTTTTTTTTTAAAGATCACCGGTAAGGGGATCTTAACCCTTGGCTTGATGTTGTCAGCACCACGCTCACCCAGTGCGCTAACTGGCCATCCCTATATGGGATCCGAACCCGGGGCCTTGGTGTTATCAGCACCGCACTTTCCCGAGTGAGCCACAGGCCGGCCTGAACTCCCATAACTTTTGTTTGTCTGGGAAATACACTATTTATCCCTCATTTCTGAAGGAGAGCCTTGCTGGGTAAAGAATTCTTAGCTCGCAATTTTTTTTCTTTTAGTGTTTTGGGTATATCATTCCACTTTCTTCTGGCCTGTAGGGTTTCAGTTGAGAAGTCTGCTGTTAGTCTGATGGGGATACTTGTATAAGTGACCTGATGCTTTTCTCTTGTGGCTTTTAGAATTCTCTCTTTGTGTTTGAGCTTTGCAAATTTAACTATAGTGTATGATGGGGAGGATCTTTTTGGATTGAATCTGTTTGGGGATCTTTCAGCTTCCTGGATCTGAAGGTCTGTATCTCACCCTACACCTGAAAAGTTTCCTGTTACTATTTCCTTGAATAGAGTTTCAATACATTTTCCTTTCTCCTCTCCTTTTTGAATACCAACAATTCGGATGTTAGAGTACTCAAGGTTGTCTGCTATCTCTCTTAGATTTTTCTTGTTATTTTAAATTCTTTTTTCCTTTTTTTGTCTGCCTGGGTTACTTTGAAAAGACCAACTTCAAGATCTGAAATTCTCTCTTCTGCTTGCTCTACCCTGCTGCTCAAGCTCTCAGTTGTGTTTTTTTTTTAAATTTCATTGAGTGAATCTTTCATTTCTAGAAGTTCTGCTACACTCTTTTCTAAGGTATTAATCTCTTTGTAGATAACCTCC